CTCCACCGACCCCGTGAAAGTTGCCCCTGCCTTCGAGAAGCAGTTCGTGCCCTCTTGTTCTTGGACGCGGTTTAGTCATCATCGGGATCCTCGTGTCACCGCTTGCTCTTCGTCGGGTTCACGAAGTCCGATGCCGTTTTCTTTGATATGAAGAGCCACGCTGTCTAGTTCATGGCCTGCAGAGACACCGGGTTATTCCTGTTCTGCCTAGCTTACTGAGGCATCGGACGCGACGCATTTCTCTCTCTTTCCTTTCTTAACGAGAGCTTTTCAAACCTGCGACAGATCCTCAAAAGTCTCCTGGTCCAGCACCGAGGCCTGAGGCAGCCGCAGGCACTCTAGCCCTTCTCGCTTATTGAAAAGTTCGCAATATGTATATTTCGCTGTTTCCCTGTCTTTTTGCATTTTCCGTTTTAATTCCATTTCTAAAAAGTTTATAGATTTGAGATTTTTGTCTGTTCTTTGAGAGTTTAATAAAGCGATATTTGCATGTGACTATGTGCATGTATGTTAGTGTGTATGGCTGTGGTGTGTCTGTGTGTGGCTGTTTGTGCCTGAGCATGTATGTCTACAATGGGGTGTTCGTGTATGTGTGCGTTACCGTGATTGTATGTGGGTGTCTGTTTTTCCTTTTTTGTGCTTGCGTATGTATTGTCTACCACCTTCCTTAGTGTTCAAATAAAAATATGTATAAAATATAAATACTTTATTAAAATAGTGGAGGACTGATATGGAAATAGAACCACAACATTCTATACTTATACATTCATATTTACTCACTTAGATATTGACAAATATCGCACTTTTTAACCATAGGTAGGGGCAGGTGTGTAGGCACGGGGCTGGGTCGGGTATTGGGCCTGACCCTCGTAGCTGACCTCAGCCACGAAGCCGGAGTCTCCTTGCACGTTGTAGTTGACCGTCTGCAGGCGACCGTCGGGAAGGCGGACGTAGTAGGAACCCTGAGTGAAGTCTCCATCACGAGACTCCTGGTGGCCGAAGTCGTTGCCGGAGGGAGGGTCGTTGACGGCGTAGTTGAAGTCGTACTTGGCTGGTCCGAAAGCAGGACCAGGAGCAGCGTAGCCGTAGGTCTGAGGGCTGGCGAGGGCGGTGGCCACGAGGGCGAGGAGTGCGAATACCTGGAGCATTGCAGAATTATATAATAATATTATTTTTTAAAATCACCATTTATATGTTGAATTTAGACCTATGCGAAGGTACAGAAACATTTTTGAGTATAATGATTCTGAATGGAATAAGGCGAAACAAAGTTACTTACCTTGGGTACCATGTTGCTTGAATCCTATGATTTAACTGAGGAAAAGAGCAAGGCTTCCTACTTTTATACAGCGGACGAAGGCAAAACTCCTCCCCCAAGATGACGTCGGGTCAAGACAGGTCTCGACTCCCTTGCCTCATCCTGAGACGTGCCAGCCTTTTCCCTCCCAGCGATACCTTATCATGCAGACTGTCTGAAAATATGTGCCACAGACATTTTTTTTTTTTTTTTTTTTTTTTACCAAATGATCACATACGGAAATGAGAGTAATGGATACGTTTGGATCTGGAAGTAATTTATATAATTCAGACATTGATATATCTCCAGAGTCCAGATATTCATGATGACAATTAAATTTTATACATATAACTAGTCTGATACAGATAAGTATGCTCTTTGACTGCAATCTTTTGGAAACCGTATTCTACATGTCTTTAAGAAATGATCACAGATTTTTTTTTAACAAGATGATCACTTTAACATTTATGAACAATTGGCAATGAAAACTGCTGATCGACACGCTTACTTTGGCGCAGTGAGCATTGTATGCAAATGTGCAATTCTAAGCTATAAATGTATATAGCTGATAATTGAAAATGTAATCTAATTTCTAAACGTTTTCCATGCATGCTATCATTCATATATTTGTGTCATGTTCGGCACGCATACATTTTAAGCAAATTCGCATTCTCATACGGAAATCTTATCACTACGATTAATATCTATACTGGGAGTATGTTTCACACAATTGTAAATTCCATTTTATTTCGTAACACTAACTCGTTCTTTCATAGGATATCAACATAGTATATTCACTATATACAGTATGTTGACACACACTTTCTGAATAGGATTAATTACAAGGATAATCTAATAAGCTTCTATCAACATACCGTTTAGGATGATTACTTAAATTGTAATTATCCTAAACGGGTTGTACTTTCGATAATGATATAAAATGTAGTATACGTAAAACAGGTATTCTTTAACTATTACAGATATTTTAACGATCTTATGAACCAATAAAATTATTCATAATCAACACATTTCTACCGGAAGTGACGCAACATGTTTTATCTCGAGTGGGCGTCGCATATTAATGTACCTATGTCTGGTTCTTAAGTTCTTAAGAAAGATTAAATGATTAATGTAAATCGTTCATCTCTGATTTATCATCGTTATTTTTATTTTATTGATTTATTTTTTTAGCTTCGATTACATTCTGTCTTATAAATATGTTTATTGGTATTTAATAAACCTGTAATATCTTGTAGTTGATTGTTTTCCTTGTGTAACGACTGTGTAAATGTTCATCTCTGCTTATACAGTCCTCGAGATGTTTACTGTGGAACTGTTGAGGCTGGGGGAGAGGGTCAAGGAACCGACCCCTCTGAACCATGTTATGTGCAGGACATCCCTATGTAGTCATTTATTCTCTCTCTTTCTCTCTCTCTCTCTCTCTCTCTCTCTCTCTCTCTCTCTCTCTCTCTCTCTCTCTATATATATATATATATATATATATATATATACACACACACAAACATATACATATATAAATATTTATATATATATACATATACGTGATGTATGGTTATACAAAAGAAGAAAATAAATTCATGGATTTTAATATTTCGTTATGTACAAAAGTCACAGTAATAGATATCAACATCCTTTAACCGTAAGTAGGGGCAGGTGTGTAGGCACGGGGTTGGGTCGGGTACTGGGCCTGACCCTCGTAGCTGACCTCAGCCACGAAGCCGGAGTCTCCTTGCACGTTGTAGTTGACCGTCTGCAGGCGACCGTCGGGAAGGCGGACGTAGTAGGAACCCTGAGTGAAGTCTCCATCACGAGACTCCTGGTGGCCGAAGTCGTTGCCCGAGGGAGGGTCGTTGACGGCGTAGTTGAAGTCGTACTTGGCTGGTCCGAAAGCAGGACCAGGAGCAGCGTAGCCGTAGGTCTGAGGGCTGGCGAGGGCGGTGGCCACGAGGGCGGAGAGTACGAAGATCTGCAGAGATGTTTTAAGAAAGGATGTATAAAGAAGTAGGAGTGTGAAATCATCTGTTTTAAAGGAAAATGGATCAGTTTCCTTAGGGGACAAATAATGCTGAAAGCTTATAAAACATCTTATAAATTACTTGTGCTTTGAAATATAGTTAATTGTTTCCTTGGTGCCACGAAATGAAGAGTACAGATTGTCTTTCAGAGAGTATGCCAAGCATTCATAATGATATTAAAAAACAATGGATGTATCTCAAGATGTATAAGTTCAAGACATACGTTGAATTTCTGCGGCGAATGCATTGCAAAAAGCTACTAACCGTAAGTGCCATTTCGTTTTAATGCTGTTTCCAATATGGAAGATGTCTCGAGGATGATGATGACACTAAGTTCACCTTCCTTTATATACCTGGTGATAGCTAAGCTCCTCCCCCAAGATGACGTCAGGAGAATCCTCGGGTCAAGACGGTTCTCGTGGCACTTGCATTTTCCTCTCCCCGATACTTTTCATAATGTTTAATGCTCCAAAGGTTTCGTGCACGCATTGATCGCTTATGGTGTCGATCTTGTTTCATTTTGTAAATATCAAAGTAATTCTATCTTCTTTGATATAAAAATATGATTTATACATGAACATTGATCATTACGTCTCATTGAAAAAAAAGACAAATAAAAAGGAAGGAATGACTTTTTCCTCTAAAAAAATTAAGTCTGACAGTAATCCAGGTATTATATTTTATATGCGGTTGAAATACGCATGATCTGCTTTCAAGATTGAGCATTTTGATCATATCTGAATTTAAGCTGAAGTCATATTTACAGACTAAATTCGTAATAGTCCTTTACTTCAAAGCCAGTGATATTAACAATGATAATAGTAATAATAATAATGATAATAATGATAATGATAATAAAACGGTGATGAGGACAACAGCAATACTAATGATAATGATAACAATAATAAGGCATTTTTATGAAAGCTAAAATTGCGATTGGTAAAGATTTAAGGAACTTTGTGAAAATTCTACAAATATTTTTCAATACTGTATTTCTTATAAGCAACGAAAAACATGTGTACCCCCAATGTTTTCACCGTTGAAATGTCTACTTACGAGTTTACTGAAGTAATGAATGACCTGACAAATAACTAGAATTTTGTTGGGTTGGGTGCTGCTCCCCACAACTGTCTAAATTGAAGTCCAAATTCTTAAGAAAGCATATGAAACATAATAACAGGGAAGGCGAAGAAGATGGAGAAAAAAAATGAGAAGAAGAAAGAGGAAGATCAGGTGTACGAGTAAGAAAAGAAGAAGAAAAAGAGAATATGGAGAAGAAGGAAGCAGTAAGGTGGAGAAGAAAAGAAGAGGCGGAGGAGGATAACATAAAGAAAAGGAAAATATATTTAATAAAAAAAGAAAGCGTGAAGAAGAGAATAATAAGGAATGAAGAAAACGGGAGGAGGAGGAGAATGAGGATAAGAAATGAAGAAAACAGAAGGGGTAGGAAGAAAAGACAGAGAAATCATGAGGAGGAAAGAAAAAAAAAGAAGAGTATTCTATCGATGAATATCAAATATGGAGGGGATGTAAGAGGAACAAGAGCGGAGGAAAAGAAAGAAATCACAAAGGAAGAAAGGGAAGAAGATAACTGGAGGGTTTCAGTGAGGTACCAACGAATTCGGCCATGAAAATACTCATGGACATCTTGGATATGATTGATGGAG